CAATAATTAATTAATAAATAAAATTGTTTATTATAAAAACTTCTTCTTCATCCGAGCGACAAATGTTTCAGACAAAGGTCGTATCTCTAGCTGTCAAATGTAGACTAGAAATGTTATCGACTGTGCTTTGAGGCCCATCGGGCCTATTCGGTCTTACCGGGCCCGCTGAACGTCACCCACACATTTTTTCTTATACACGCTTTTCCCTATACCTTCATTTCCCTCAACTACGGTACTGGCTTGTCCGTATTTCCGCTCTCAGGTACCCCAATTTCGCTCGCCGGGACTGAGCGGCAAAACGCAGTGGGAATAGCCCATTATTCCCAGTGCGTTTTGCTGCTCAGTCCCGATTACACGGGCGCTGCCACTCTTTAATAGTATCTCCTCGGTGTGCGATGCAAGCATACCATCGATAAGTCACATATGTACGTTGAATCATGCAACGAGATTAGATTGCGTGCGTATCTTCAACGAAAATTGGAGCGCCGCTCCACGAACCCGCTTGGCTATTGTGCGCGTTGTCACAACGATCTCGCCTATTTACTTTGCATCTTCTCTTTCAGGTAGCGAAATCCTTCGAGGCAGAAGCGAAACACCGTCGAGGGGAACCGCACGCAACAGTTCGCACGAGGACGAATAAAAACTGAGCGAGATGACTCACATGCTTCTGCAAGAGCCCGGATGGAAGATCGAGCGCAAGGGTTCGGCGCTGCTGCTACGAAGGGACAGCTCGCACCTGAAGAGCGGCCGAGTCTGTTTCCGCTGCGACGTCGAAGTTCGCGAATTCGAGCGTGACGAGGATTACATGGTCGAGGCGGAACCGGAGACAGCTGCCAGCCCGTTGGCGATGTGTGCCAGTTGCCTGGCGGCTCTATGCGTGACCGTGATTCTCCCGTGGTTGCTGATCGGCGGTTAAACACGCCTCGGCTCGTGATCTCGTGGGGCTCGTTGGGGGGCGATCGCGTGTACAGCGGAACGGAAGTCATCCGACGAACCGTCGAGCAGAGTTCCTTAAGGAATAGATCTCTATTGGACCACGAGAGACCTGATGATAATGGATCAAGTGGTCGATACGAATTCGTCGTTGGGGTTGGGGGTGTCAGCCTGGGAATGAATAATTAAGTAGTAGTTCCTAAACGATTTAAAAGAAGTATTTGTGATTTATACGTCGCTGCGAGTAAGGGAGCGTTTTATCGGGAGACGAGTCGTGGATGTAATATTTTTCAAAGAGAGCTATTGATCCTAGCACTGAAAAAGTTTACGACCGGCTTTATGCTTATTCGCTGACCCGTGTCGGGTCTACGTTTCCACGTAGGAAAGTACGCGTTCCGAGACAATGAAAAAAAAAAAAAAGGAAGAAGAACTCGGCTCGCTCGCGGTTCAAATAGGTTTCGTGAAAGTCGGTAGAGAAAACTGCGGACTTTCTGCATAGATACGCGAGACGAGAGGAACATCAAAGGCGGAACGGTATATTCGAGCGTGCATTAAACCTCCTTACCATTCGTTTGACGATATCGACGAATCCTCTGGCCTCTGGAACGGAGGCGACCCTGTGCCAAACGAGAGAGGCAGAACTCGAAATATTCGCAAAAAACCTTTCGCGATTCGCGGTCCGCTTGCTTTGCACACGCGTCTATACAGATACACTAGCGAACGTGCGCTAGCTGCGTCGCATCGGCTTAAAAGCGATGTACATATGTATACATTTTTCTACGTTTCATCCCATCGATCGGTGCATCCCGCTTGAACGAGGAAATATAATGCAACGCGCGACCTTCTTTCCCAGCTTTGGTTCTCCGAACCATAATTGCACGGTCGATCAATTAAATATTTTACCCCGGACGATCGGTAAGACCGGTAAAGTTCCCGACGCGAAATCAGCAAATGGAAAAGTTCCGCGGTGGAAATCGACGGGCGTATTGAGAAATCGAGCGAAGTTTCGAGTTCGAAGGCCGTAGTCACAGACCGTTACTCGCTTAGAAGATCCGGATCGAATAAATTTCGGTAAGGGAAATAACTTGGGAAATCGCGAGTCGAGTTGCCTACTCACGAACGATTTTTCCAAGTCGAACGTAGAATAGAGTGAGTCACAAATTTACATCGGCCTGTTTGCTGTCTCAAGGATTGTTTACATCGAGGGAACCAAGTCGCTAGTCTAAAGAAAAGAATGGAAGAGAGAATGCGAGCGTGAAGAAACTCTGATAACGTGAGAATGATTGATTTCAGAGGTACACGTTCAGTGCACGTCTGAAGTAACATGTAGACCTCTATCGAACGATTCCAATCGATCAATGTAAAATAATATTTGTTTATGTTTCTAGTAAAATTGTCTGAATAAGTACAGCTCATGTGGAATTTTCACCCCTGGCCTTACAC